CAAATATCCCGGAATACTTCTAAGGCATCTGAGTTAAATATTTAAAAGAGAAAAGTTTTGTAGAGAAAGAAGGTATTCCTTAAATATCCATTATTTCCATTTCAATGTAAGAATAATTATGTTAAAAGTCTTCTTAAAAATAGGCATATCTTAGAAAATTAAGATTTGTGTATATATAAATGCAAACTTTCACAGCAAGTGTTACTTTAGTAAATATTATCCTCAAATTCACATAAAATCAATTTATAATATGTTTAAGACTACTTTTTAAAGTAATGTTTCCAGTTTTACCAACACATTTTGGTGAAAAAATCATTCATAAAAAACATACCTACTCTATAACATGCACTCAAATTTGTCAAATGATTAAATTAATGAAATGTCCAAAAAGTAATCTTTAGAATAGATGTGGTAATATATGTAAAAGCTCTTATAAATAATCAATTGTTAATACAAATATGTTAGTAAAACTATTAATCGCTGGTACTCAGGGATGTAGAGGCTGTGCATTGTCCCACCTGAAGGGGCGCTGTATGATTTAGATTTAATTAATTAATGTCAGCTTGTACAGATTGGAAAGGCCCTTCTAATGCAGTTGGATCTGGTTCTCAGTGTCTCTATGTGGGCAGGTATACATACCTGTTTCTCTGTTTTCTCAACTTCTGACTCTACTATATGTGTGTTTGGATCCAATTATCACAGAGCACAGAAGGTGGATGTGAGCCAGGCTATCAGGAAGCTGAAAACTGTGTAAAGGCTGCAATGGTTAACACCGAGTATCAACTTGATTGGATTGAAGGATATGAAGTATTGTTCCTGGGTGTGTCTGTGAGGGTGTTGCCAAAGGAGATTAACATTTGAGTCAGTGGATGGGGAGAGGCAGAGCCACCCTCACTCTGGGTGGGCACCATCTAAGCTGCCAGTGCAGCTAGGATAAAAGCAGGCAGAGGAACGTGGGAGGACCTGACTGGCTGAGTCTTCCTGCCTTCCTCTTTCTCCTATGTTGGATGCTCCCTGCCCTTGAACATCGGACTCCAAGTTGTTCAGCTTTTGGACTCAGACTTACACCAGTGGTTTGTCAGCGGCTCTTGGTCCTTTGGCCACAGACTGAAGGCTGCACTGTCGGCTTCCATATTTTTGAGGTTTTGGGACTCGGACTGGCTTCCTGCTCCTCAGCTTGCAGACGGCCTACTGTGGGACTTCACCTTGTGATCGTGTGAGTCAGTCTTCCTTAATACACTCCCTTTCATATATCCATCTCTCCTATTAGTCCTGTTCCTCTAGAGAACCCTAACACAAATGCACCTCTCATAATGAAACAGACATCCCAACGAGAGATTTGCTTAAACACAGAATTTTAATTAACATGTAAAAATAGCCCCTTTGTGAAACAAAATGTCTTTAACCATTTCATTTTTTTTTTCTTCTGTTATATACTATATCTTCTATGGAGTATAAGTAGCTTTTTTTTTTTTGAGACAGTCTTGCTCTGTCGCCAGGCTGGAGTGCAGGGACACGATCTTGGCTTACTGCAACCTCTGCCTCCCGGGTTCGAGCGATTCTCCTGCCTCAGCCTCCCGTACTTTGAGTTCTATAGTTTCTAAGTAGCACATTGTTCTTTTTTTGAAAAGCCATTGATATATTCACTATGTAAGGCCCTGCTCCAAGGAACGCAGCACAAGGCAATCATTAATTAGGCAAACAGCATGTCGCCCAGCACACAGTAGGCCTTCAGCAAGCAATTTAATTTCCCTTTTGGTTCCTATGCCTGAATTCAATTGTCATTCAGTGAAAGGGGGCCTCAACAAGATAAACAAGACTGTATCATTTACACATCAAAATTTCAAACATTAATATTTACAAAGAAAAGATACTAAAAAAGTCTATTACACGTATTAGAATTTTTTGTAAAATTATAAAATTTTATAAAAATTATAGCATCAATAAAATTTTATAAAATTACACAATTATTTTATTATTATAATGCAATAAAATTATTAGACTATATATTAATAGTCTTATCAGAGATTAATTTTTAAATGTACTTTCCTGTAACTGTATTTGACTTTTTTTTTGAGACAGAATTTCGCTCTGTCAAGCAGGCTGGAGTGTAGTGGTGAGATCTCAGCTCACTGCAACCTCTGCCCCCCAGGTTCAAGCAATTCTACCGCAATTACTTTTGTACCAACCTAATAATTTTAATAATACATGTAACTTTTAATTACAGTGTAGAACTATCAATGTTTTCCCAGTGTAATTTGCTGTAATATCTATTAAACACCATAGAATTGCACTCAATAAACATGTGTACACTCTAATTAATATATTAAATTAGCTACTCAATTTTCCTCCTACAACACAATCTTTTGTATATGCCTTCATTATTTGTATAAAGTGTTGTGACTTCTGAAAATATCAGGCACATTAATATTAAAATATTAAATACAAAATGCACTCTAAACTCAAGTAATACTTCTGAGTTTATCCAAGCACTGGTTCTAAGTTCTAACATAGAGATAAATATATGTTTACATAAAATATTTTCATATTTAGGAATATTATAAATTAATCCCTTGATTATAGGCTTTTCTTAATAATAAAAAGCTATCCATGGCAGAATTTGAAAGAAATTACTTGTATTATAATTTTTTTTAGGTGAGCTTCACTCTTGTCACCCAGGCTAGAGTGCAAAGGCGCAAACTCAGCTCATTGCAACCTCTGCTTCCTGGGTTCAAGTGATTCTCCTGCCTCAGCCTCCTGAGTAGCTGAGACTACAGGTACGTGCCACCACCCCTGGCTAATTTTTGTATTTGTAGTAGAGACAGGGTTTCACCATGTTGGCAAGGCTGGTCTCGAACTCCTGACCTCAAGTGATCTGCCTGCCAAGGCCTCCCAAAGCGTTGGAATCACTATGTGAGCCACTGCGCCAGGCCTTGTATTATAATTTTTTTTAAGTTATAAGTCTGGTAAGCACCTGCCAGGTTGGTTGATGAGGAGAGAGATGCATTGTTAAACAAGATGCTTTCAGGCTTTTCTTTAAGGAATTTAAAGATGAATAGGACATTCAGAAAAGTAAACACATAATGTAAGTATGAATAAAATGCTGTAATTCAGATTCTATGGGAACTCAGAGGAGAGACACTCAAATGTCCAATGAACGGAGGTTTGTGTCCATTTTAATCTACACGTTCAGCAGATTGATCACTTTTGAACACAATACTGCTCAATGAAAACGTAGTCTGATTGAACCTTAAGATTGTATTATTTTTCACAAATGCAAGGTTTAAATGATAATTCCCAGAGGGCGAGCAGGGACACAGAGAAGAATAAAGCAGAAAATTTCTAAAAATGCATTGAGATACTTGTTTCTTGGAGACTTGTTACCAATCCAGTGCTTAACATTTATCAAATAATGTGCTTTGCCAACTGCCAGATGATGTGCCCAGGGGATTCCTTACCCTTTAATCCTCCTAACCTTATTGATGTAGTACTAGTGTTACGGTCATCTTTTAGATGTGGAAACAGAGGCCCACAGAGGTCAAAGAACCTACCTCAAATCAGAAAGCTGGAAGGTAAGCTTTTAACAGCTGTGAGCAGATCTTCTCTAACAGTGTGACAAAAATCCTAAAACACAGGGAAAGGGAGACGAGGTGGCAGGGGGTGGGGCATTTGGTGAAGCGTAGAATAACACAAGGTCAAATTCTCTTTTATTTTTTCTTAGATGGATGTCACTCTGTTGCCCAGGCTGGAGTGCAGTGGCATGATCATAGCTCACTGAAGCCTCGATCTCCTGGGCTCAAGCAATCCTCCTACCTCAGCCTCCTAAGTAGCTGGGACTACAGGTGCATATCACCACACCCAGCTAATTCTTGTATTTTCTGTAGAGGTAGGGTCTCTCTATGTTGCCCAGGCTGGTCTCAGACTCCTGGACTCCAGCGACCCACCTGCCTTGACCTTCCAAAGTGCTGGGATTACATGCGTGAGCCACCACACCTGGCTACATGTTGAATTCTTAAGCTATTGGTTACCACAGATCATTGAAGAAACTGACCATATAAACCACTGCTCTTGCATACATAAGCCTCTCACAAATCTCTCTAGCACCTGAAAATTTCTATCAAATGAACAGCATTGACTGGGAATATCAGAGAGTGTCCCAGCAGGGTGAAAGCAAGTTGCCCGACTTTGTAGCTAATTATTTCATAACATCAATATATTCATGATATAGTATCACATAAGACACTGATACATTGGCCATTATATCTGTAAGCCGAACTTTTAATTTTAAACAGGGCTTGTACTTGATTATCACAGTATCAAATTCCACAAATAAAATATTCTTCTACTTTGAAAACTCTGTCTTCATTTTATGGCTTTTTATTATGAAACTTTATCTTGGTATTACTGATGTACCTTGACTTCATTATACTAAACAACGCTCATATTAGTACTTCAGTACTGGCAAAACAGCTAAGCCTTAAACCCGGCCAAATATCTATTAAAGTGCATTGCTTTTTATGCTGAAATCAATTTATTAAATAAAAGTCCCTTGCCACAATGGAATAAAGAATATAATTCCATGTTTGAAGGAACCCCTAAAACTACAATTTTCAAATTTTTAAAAAGTATAATCTAAAAATGATTCAATAACTTCAAGTGTGTTTTTTAAAACTAAATTTAATCAATCAATTCATATAATGTTCTCTAATTTATATAAAAGATAAAAATCTTATTCTTGGGCTAACTTGATAAAAAAAAATGTTCTTAGTTTTTAAAAGGGCTCTGCAGAAGAGTATTCTTAGAAAACGTGTGGCATACCTCAGTGGTCCCCAGCCTTTCTGGCACCAGGGACCAGTTTTGCGGAAGACAATTTTTCCACGGCTGAGGGTGGAGGTGGGGGTGGGTAGGGGATGGTTCTGGAATGAAACTGTTCAACCTCAGATCATCAGGCATTAGATTTTCATAAGGAGCACAACCTAGATCCCTCGCATACGCAGTTCACAGCAGGGTTTGAACTCCTATGAGAATCAAATGCCACTGCTCATCTGACAGGAGGCAGAACTCAGGCAGGAATGCTTAGCTCGAGGCTCACCTGGTGCTGTGAGGCCTGATTCCTAACAGACCACGAACCAGTACCGGGACCATGGTCTGTGGGTTGGGGACCTCAGTATACATAACTAACTAAAATTAACAACTCACATTTTCTAGAAATACCTGAGAGCCAATGTCTAAGAATATAACTTTGCTTAAATTTAGCACCATTTGTATATGTAAAAAAAAAACAACTGATACGCTAGTTAGTAAAAATGGCTTATTCTCTACAATCTAGTTATTTCTTTTATAGTGCAAAAATGTACACCCTAAGAAAAAAAAGGATTACAAATGTGCACACAGGTATCACAAAGAGGTCTTACTCGATCCCATTTTCTTTTTAAAATGGAGACATTTCAAAGGCAGAAAAAGACCTGAGTCTGGTTAAGTAATTGAAGTAAATGTAAGAGAGAGTCACGAGGACATTTTTACACAGGCCCAGCACGGGTGTGATGGTCCCCAGCGCAATGATTAAACCAAGTCTAACAAAAATAAATGGTAAATCTTGCAGCAGGATGTCCAGGGAATTGAGAAGAGGGTTTTGGGGAGTGAATGTAATTCGAAGGAGAGAAATAAAACTGAATATGTAGACTGGGTACAGCCAGCTTGACTTGTACACTTTGGGGTGACCGGCCACACGCACCATTTCTATCGTGTCAGACCACAGGAGAAAGCTCCATAAGAATATCTCTGCGCGGACATCTCTCAGGGACATCGTTCTCAGGATTCCTGAGTCACAGGAGGGCTCCTGGGGCCCCATGAACACAGACACCTGGCTCTGTGTCCTGGCTCCTGATGGCTGGGACACCTGGCTGCTGCCGGTTGCCTGGGGAGATGCAGCGTTGTCTTGACTTTGCCTCACGTGCTCTGTCACAGTTTTTACTTGTTGCAAAGAGGTTGAATGGATGTGTCCATTTTGACTACCTGCAATAAACAGATTTATTTACATTTTAGTTCAAATGTTATTCAAATTTAAAATTCCATTTAATGGTGGAATTCTCCATATTCTTTTTTTCTTCACTTAATTTTAAGTTCCAGGGTACGTGCACAGGACATGCAGGTTTGTTACATAGGCAGATGTGTGCCATGGTGGCTTGCTGCACCTGTCAACCCATCACCTAGATATTAAGCCCCACATGCATTACCTAATTAACCTGATGCTCTCCCTCCCCCCATATTCTATTATTTGAGGCCGATTTTACCCATGGAACTCCAAGATAACACTGAAATAGCACAGTGAAAAAACACAGAGGTAGAGAAGGCTTTTGGTGTCTTGGTATTTTCCTGGATTCAGATCCAAAGTCATTTTTTACCACTCCATAATAACAAACAGTATTGGTTTCTAAGCTATGCACTTTCACACATGATCTCATTTAATCCTCAGAACAAAGGTAAGAAATAGGGATTACTATCCATTTTACAACTATGGAAACTGGGGCCTGAGAGGTTAAAAGATACCCATATTCAAACACGGTTACTATTGGGCAGAGTTGGAATTCACACCTAGATTTGTTTGACCCCAATTAACAAAGTCTTAACTTTATGGCTGCTATTGCCTGTCAAGAAGCAATAGATCATGTGCTAATTACAAAACATTTAAGTGTCATAAAATCAAATGAATCTGAAAGTCCTCCAGTCCAACCCTGTCATTTTGTAAGACAGAGGCCCTGTCATTTTGTAAGAAGAGGCTCACAGAAATTACCATACCCCAGATCTCCAGGCGAGAAGTTTGGTGCTAAGAGAAAATCTGTTTTGCGTGTATGTGTGTGTGTGTGTGTGTGTGTGTGTGTGTGTGTGTGTGTGTGTGTGTGTATGTGGTTTTTGTTTTTTTTTTTTTTGAGACAGAGCCTTGCTCTGTGACCCAAGCCGGAGTGTAGCAGTATGATCTCAGCTCACAGCAATCTCGATCTGCCAGGTTCAAGCAATTCTCCTGCCTCAGCCCACACGCCCCAAGTAGCGGGGATTACAGGTGCACACCACCATGCCTGGCTAATTTTTAGTAGAGACGGGGTTTCCATGTTGGTGAGGCTGGTTTCAAACTCCTGACCTCAAGTGATCTGCTTGCCTCGGACTCCCGAAGTGCTGGGATTACAGGCGTGAGCCACAGTGCCGGCCTAGAGGGAATCTATTTGACCACTAAAGATCAGTAGTGAAGACTGACGTGCTGAATCCAAGATTTTTAAGCTGTTCTTTCACAAAGGTTCTTGAAGCGATCATTAGGATTGGTTAACCTAAAGTCTCTCTTCTGTGGTCAAGTCAACACACGAGTGATCTGAATGAATAGGACACATGATATAACACCATTGTGTGTGTGTGTGTGTGTGTGTGCGCGTGTGTGCTTCTCTCCATGTATTCATGAGTGTTGAGGTTGAATTATGAACAAACTCAAATTTCAAGACCTAAATCAATGTTGATGCCATTGTTTATACACAGAAGGCATAATGTGTTCTGTTTCAAACATTTATCCACTAAAATGCCATTTTAGTTGCTACACATTTATCAGGCCTTAACAAAGTTTACTCAGCAAACATGCTGAGCTGCCATATGACGAGATAAGACAAAATTTAAAGGGAGTCATGAGACCGAATAGCTCTAAAGGTCAAAGAGGCAAAGTCAATAAGAATTTGTTGAACAGCGTGAAGCTGAACATGAAAACATTTTAAAATAAATAAACGATGATAGATAACTAAGAAAATGCTTGCTTACGATAAGTACAAGTTTGTTTAAAGAACACAATACATTTCTATTTTCTTTTATACAATTAACTAATTATTGTTAAAGTTTAAGTGTGAATTCAGCATTTTTATAAACTAAAAAGATAATCTAAATTCTCGATGACACATTACTTACTTCCAGTATGAATCATTGATAGGTAAATGTCAGCACCCATGACCTCAGAAACTTCTTTACCAATCTTAGAATTCACAGTGGTCTGAGTGGGAATCATCTTAATAAATAACACTCAAGGGAGAAAATTATATAACAATTTCTTATTCTTAAATTCATAAAACCACTTCTTATTAAACTCAGATGCTCATTTATATCCATTGAACCTCTTATATTATTTTAAAAATTCATATAGAGCCAGGTGCGGTGGCTCACACCTATAACCCCAGCACTTTGGGAGGCCAAGGCGGGCAGATCATCTGAGGTCAGGAGTTCGAGAGCAGCCTGACCAACATGGTGAAACCCCATCTCTATTAAAAATACAAAAATTAGCCAGGCATGGTGGTAGGGGCCTGGAATCCCAGATACTCAGGAGGCTGAGGCACAAGAATTGCTTGAACTCAGGAGGAGGAGGTTGCAGTGAGCTGAAATCGCACCACTGCACTCCAGTCTAGGCAACAAGCGAGACTCCATCTCAAAAAATAAAATAAATAAAAATGAATAAAAAATCAATACAGAAAATGTGCCTTAGAACATGTCATGTCCTAGAGAACTTTTCTTCCCCTCTCTTGGTGGATGAAGCTGTCACAATGAAAATCCAAATACCTTTGTTAACATTCAGAACACACTGTATAATTTGGGCTTTTGAAAGATGATTGCAAAGTCAGCATCGTTTCAAAGCCAGGAAGTGGAAGTCCCAAAAGTGACCCAGTAACATTCTTTCAACAGTCAGTGAGAGTCTTAACGTTTCAGATGCTCGGAGCCCTGCTATGAACAATGAATTCTCAGCTGGAGTCTGGTTTTGATGAGATACATGTATATGTAGTGAAATCAGGTCTGTGAACTTCTTATCTCTCCACAGCTCAAAAGGGACTCATTTAGATTAGAAGGTACAGGAAGTCTGCTTCCTCTTTTCAAGTGAGAAGTACTAGAACTATTAACTGGAAAGCTTTGATGACCTCCCAGAGGCCTGGGGAGAGTTGAGGAAGCTGAGAAATCTTTTGGTCATTGGAAGGGACCAGCAATTACACCTCTGAGCAAAGTCCAGGGTCATGTATTCAGTACTATTCCGTTTAGCTCCATGATGAGTTTTCTCTCCAAATTAAGTACTTTCTCTATTCCTGATGGAGACTCACTCTTTCCCCCAGGCTGGAGTGCAGTGGCTGATTTCAGCTCACTGCAACCTCCGCCACCCAGGTTCAAGCAATTCTCCTGCCTCAGCCTTCTGAATAGCTGGGACTACAGGCGCCCGAGTCAGGCCCAGAAAATTTTTTTGTATTTTTGTAGAGACAGGGTTTCACTGTGTTGCCCAGGCTGGTCTCGAACTCCTGAGTTAAGACAATCTGCCCACCTTGGCTTCCCAAAGTGTTAGGATTACAGGCGTTAGCCACGGGTGCTTGGCCCAAATGAGTATTTTCTAAATGTCTACTTAGAGATGGAATTCTTTTTCTTTTTTTTTTTTTCGAGACAGGATCTTGCTCTGTTGCCAGGCTAGAGTGCAGTGGCGCAATCTCAGTTCACTGCACCCTCTGACTCCCGGTTCAAGGAATTCCCCTGCCTCAGCTTCCCAAGTAGCTGGGACTACAGGCACCCGCCCCCACGCCCAGCTAACTTTTTGTATTTTAGTGGAGAGGGGGTTTCACTATGTTGGCCAGGATGGTCTCAATCTCCTGACCTTGTGATCCGCCCGCTTCAGCCTCCCAACGTGCTAGGATTATAGGAATGAGCCAAAGGGCCTGTCCGAGCTGGAATTCTTTTCCCATTGTTGTTTGTTGTTATTTGTTCTTTTGGTAAAACAATATTCATTGATGCAAAATCCATAGAAGATATAAGCCTAAAGAGAGTAATCTCCTCAGCTCCCGAGAGGCTCACATTGTCCCGTAAAAGTCAAAACAGCAGTCTTTCCATATAGTTTTCCATATCTGATTCTAGTTGCTGAAATGACTTTTGTTCATCACTGAGTAAGCTAAATAACCAAGAGAATGTCATTTTGATAGCAGACAAGTGGTTAAGTAGGCAACTATAACATACTTCACTTTGTTGTTTATTTATATGAATTAATTTTAACTTCCAAATTGTTCCCCCAAAGTTTTTAATACCTAACAGGAGGAAAAAAAAAAAAACAGGACACAAGATAACAATTCAGTAGTGAGACATTTTCTAGAGTGTGCACTCCTCTTGCAAAGAGAACAGGAAAACAAGATATTGTCTAAATAAAAACAGAGGGGCCTGGTGCAGTGGCTCATGCTGGTAATCCCAGCACTTTGGGAGGCTGAGGCAGGAGGATCTCTTGAGGCCAGGACTTCCAGACCAGCCTGGCTAATGTGGCGAAACCCCGTCTCTACTAAAAATACAAAAAAATTAGCCGGGTATGGTGGCATGCACCTGTAGTCCCAGCTACTCAGGAGGCTGAGGCAGGAGAATCTCTTGAATCCAGGAGAGGGAGGTTGCAGTGAGCTGGGATTGCACCACTGCACTCCAGCCTGGGGAAGGTGGGAGAGGAAAAGAGCTGATGTCTATTAAGAACTTTCTATGTTTTAAAACCCTGTGGTTTTAATAGGGTTTAACACACTTATTAAAACCCTATGGTTTCTCCATGTTATCTTACTTTCTGTTATTTTAGAGACAGGCTCTTGCTCTGTTGCCCACATAGAGTGCAGTGGCACAATCATAGCTCACTGCAGCCTACAACTCCTAGACCCAAGCGATCCTCCTGCCTCAGCCTTCCAAATAGCTGGGACTACAGGCTTGCACCACCACGCCTGACTAATTTGTTTTAATTTTTATTTTTTATAGAGACATGGATGACTTGCTGTGTTGCCCAGGCTGGTCACAAACCCCTGGCCCCCAAGTGATCCTCCTACCTCAGCCTCCCAATGCACTGAATTACAGGCATGAGCCACTATACACAGCCTATTTTCCTGTTTTAATGATGAATAAACTGAGGCACAGAGAGATTAAACACTATTTCCAAGGTCACATAGCAAGCAAGTAGAAAGATCAGAACTTGAGTCCCAAACCCTTAACCCTTGCAGCAT